CCTATTGCCTTGGGACATTTCATCCTGAGATTTCATGTGTATAGATTCATTTGAGTCTCTATGCGGCTTTCATAGTTTCAAAATTTTTCGAGTTGCACTGCACGATCACATACACAAAAATAGATAAAGGCAAACATAATGATTCTGTGGTGTTTAGAGAGTCATAATATTAGAACATTCTAGATTTCTTTAGCCCGGTTTTTTGTCTAAAAACCCATATAATTTCCTCACAATGTTTTTTATCTATTTTAATTTTTTTACCTTAGGACTAAACAGTTTTCGTCTGGAAACTCAATAAAATTTCTAGTCTGAAAACTCCCATGAACTTATTGGCCAATTTTCTGGCAAATTATTTAATTCCTGTTGATCTCATGAATGTCCCTGAATCTGGCAGGTCCTCTGACGGATCCCCTGTCTCTGGTGGGGGTGATCCAGAGGAAGCTGGGGGAGGAAGGGGACCCAGCAATGTCTGATCTCATGTACCAGTTTAACCAATTGCCGTATTGGGTAGACAGAGGCATGCTCCAAGCGCGGATGCGCCTACTCAAGGATGAGGTACAAATACTTTATGTCTGTCCGTAATTCAACACTCAAGTGTCTAGCTGTACATATCTATCGCCTTTCATTAAATCGATTTTTTACATTTAAAGCTCATTCGTGCAATTAGACAAATATTTTGCATATAATTTCAGGCTGCTATGCCCAGGTGAAGGTTTTTGTAACCCGTCAGATTTTCTCAATAAATAAATTTCAGTAATACGGTATGGATGCCTTTTAGTATTTGCCCTTGCAAGGTAGCTGGTCGCTGGAGGATAAAATGAAGGGTTTATAGAAACGAATTAAAAAATAAAGAATTAATATTTTACCAATAGGATATTGTGCTCGTATTTATGAAACTGAGAAAAATTAAGATGCCTTATGTATTAAGAATTTTATGAGAAAATCTTGTATATTATAGTGTTTTGAAATAAAACAATTCAGTAGTTAAGGTACGAGAAATGGAAAAAAATTGATCTTTAAGTTTCAAATTCAAATGAAATTGGCGTAAACAAATAGTGAGAATGGTTACTGCTTTGAATTGAAGATTTTTACGACACTCCATTTTGTTTTTGTGATAATCTCTTCAGTTGAGGCCACTTGATAGCATAAATCCTCAGTTTATGATACATGTGACCCCAAGTCCCGGCATGGTGCAGGTCTACCAGGATTACTTCGCCCCCTACGAGGGCAGGGACGGGTTCGACGTCCAAATTATGCTGCAGGTCCCCAGGAGCCGCGGCGCCGTCACCCTCAGGTCCAAGAGTCCCTTCGAGCCTCCTAATGTCGACCCGAATTATTTCGAACATCCTGATGATGTTGAGGATCTTCTTAAAAGTATGTTAATAGTTTTAATCGTGTTTTCAGAGGGGCTTATATAATATCAAAGATTTTGCATTTATCTATGATGTTCGTAAAAATTATCCCTTAACTAGAAGAGCTCCATGTAGAGCTTTGATTAATCTAGCCAATGGTCTAATCCTTTTCTTACATTACCTTAGACCATTAGTATAAGAGTTTAGACCATTCATTTGTATAAGTCGTCATAGGCAGAAAATTCGCGTCTTGCCTATATTACAAACGTTGTTTGGCTTCTAGCTTCGACCAGCTTGATACTGAAGCAAAATATAAACGTTTCCTCTTGAGGTGTTCTCAATTAGAATTTATTATTATTATCCCTATCAAAATTTTGATACCTGTCAGCCGCTGGCTCAAGGGCGCCCCAAGCTCGCCCAACGGTATGAAGCAGCGGCTCCTATGTCCGCTTTAGGTTCCGGTTGCCGGAGCGAAATAAGCGCCGAAAGAGAATCTTGTGAAATACCTGTTGAGCTTGGGGCGATCGTGTGGAGTGCGTATTTGGTACCTGATACATTCGGGACAGACACGGCCGAATCTGGAAAATGCGTTAAAAAAAATGCCCCCTCCCTTCCCCCCTTTATGGGGGAAGGGAGGGGCCATTTGAATCGTTGTACGCTAGACCTGTATCATCGCAGCACAATGAAGCAAGTGGCGAGTAAACACGAGTTTGAAATGGGAATAATATCAGTTAATACAACTTTCAACCCTAACTTTCCACATTACCCACACCATTCTCTAATATTTTACGGAATTGCAAGACCCTCGCACAGCAGCAAAAAGCAAAAATAATTTTCAAAATATAATAATATTTATAGCAATATAGATTCGCAAAATTCAAACGCTCACGATTTCGAGGCGTCTTTTCTGTACAGCACTTAAGTCTGAAAAACAAAGATTGGTGATGGCTTTTGCCCATTGTAGCCTAGTGATGAAGCTCATCTAGCATTGATTCATCACTAGTAAACACCAGGTCTAGAATAATGGGAGTCTGTTTACTTCCATAATGGGTTGGCTTGGTAACGTGCTGGACCAGGAAGGAGTCTCTCACTGACTCCATGAACAGGGATGCTGGGTGATTTTCATCCCTTGGAGAGGATCCATCTGTCCAGTCTAGCTCTGGACGATCAAATCACCAACGATCAACGTGTGTGACCTACGGAAAGTCATGCTCAGTAAAAGACTGTTTAGTACTTTATCGTTTTCAGAGGAACTGTTTGGTGATCTATACATGACGCCAATGAGGAGGCTATCTTTGCATTTGAAAGAAAGTTTGCACCACACTGATTCCCTAGCTGATTGATGCTCTGCAGATAACTTGATTTGTTGGGCCCCATAAGAGGTTGTCACCCACAAAGCTTCACCTCTACTGCACTGCTCTTCAGTGCGTTATGAAAACAATCAAAACCTAGCAACTGAAATTCAACAGGTACAATTTTTCCCTTGTGATTTTTAGGAAGTGTTTCTGTAACACAAATAATGTCTATGCACTCGCTTTCGATCAGAGTTAACAGTTCACTTTTGTTAATCAAAACAGAATTCGAGTTCGTTTAAAACATTTTAAAATTTTTTGTGCACTCTTACTTTGATACATGCGTTTACTTCTTACATTATTTACAGTTCTGGATCTATGGACATGACTTCTTACTTGTCTTCCAGCTCCGCTGACTGACCATATGTCCATAGAAAACGGAAAAATCGTAAAATTAACTTTGGACTTCCCGAAATTCTTCACAAGTAATACAAGGAAAATTTTTCGCATGAGCTTGTGCCCGGGAAGCCCGCGCATTTGTCCTCGTTGAGGAAAAAATTAATGCTGGACCAGGAAATTTATTCGTACGATGGATGCCTGGCGCAGTGCTGCGGTTGAAGGTGCCAGTGCAGAGCAGCACGCCGGTGTGGGAGGTGCAGTTGCTTTTTGTCTGCACTTGCATAACTTAACTTGACCACCACCCTTGAGCGTCCGCTCGCTGTTTATTGACTATACTGTGACAGTAATTTTGAATCAAAATAACAAAATTTTCTGTTTTTATTAAATTTATTCTGTATTAATTTCTGTAATTCAATAACAATATTTTCTGCGGGCCACTATGCCACCATATTTTACCTTTTTTAAATTTTGGATTTGTCTGTAAAATCGTCGTGATCGATGGGCTAAGCTGATGCTTAAGTTCTATTTTAATTAAATGGAGAATGTGACAATAAAATTTAATCTCCATATGTAATCGTAAGCAACATTTCTAAAAGTTATTCTTTCTGTCTTCGAAACATTTTATGCCAGCCTTCAAGTTTGACAAAAAACTATTCGGAACTGTAACAGCTTGGAACTCTGTCAATAGGATCTCTAACGGCTTGGATCCCTGTCAATAGGAACTCTAACAGCTTGGAACTCTCAATTGGATCTCTAACAGCTTGTAACTCTGTCAATAGGATCTCTAACAGCTTGGAATTTTGTCAATAGGATCTATAACAGCTTGGAACTCTGTCAATAGGATTTCTAACAGATCGAAACTGTCAATTGGATCTCTAACAGCTTGTAACTCTGTCAATAGGATCTCTAACAGCTTGGAACTCTGTCAATAGGATCTATAACAGCTTGNCCTAGTATTTCGACTAAATATCAATGATTGTGGTGTCAGCGTTGATTATCCGATGCTGTCTTCTAGCCGGTAGCCGGTTTCGATCGGCGGACTTGCCAATTTTGATCGAAGTTTTCACAGCTAGTCCGAGTTTAGAACCTCTAACTCACTACTTCAACCAAATAGATCTTAAACTCTCGGCCACTTCGAGCCGAGTGGTCTTTTTTAGCCAAAATGCTGGTCAAGAATAGAAAATGGTTTCTGTGATAGTTGAAGGAACGACGAAGACAAAATGTCGAATGGATTATAAATTTTCGGCGAAGCACTATGATATAAAAATTCTTTAAAAAATATCATAAGAATCTCGTGGGCTGAGCGTCATTTTTCTTAAAATTCGGTCTGGAAACACGTTTTTAAGAACAAAGGTAACATGGTTTGGAAACATGTTGTTTTCTGTTATATAGATAGCCAAGCAAACTTGAAGTTAGTAATGATAATAATAACGATAATAACAATAGTAATAATAACAATAATAATAATATTAATAATAATAATAATGAAACTAAGGCTAATAATGATATAATGGGAATTAATAGGTTAATATCAACAACTGGGCAGTGGGTGCAGGCTCTGCGGGTTGTGCGCTGGCTGCGCGCTTGTCAGAGGTACGCTCATGGCAAGTGCTGCTGCTCGAGGCCGGTGGGCAACCGCCTGCCGCCAGCAAGGTGAGAAGCTCTGGCGAACAGCCTTGTCATGCAAAGGCGGCTTATATCCGTTTGATCTGAGATCATCCGGCATGAAGTGGAGGAGTGCTATGAAAAGACTGTAATCATAGTGGCCTAAATTGAGTGGTGTTATTTAAACGCGTCTTCATTGTTTTTGCATAAAAATTAGGACTTTTACAACTTTTGAACTTGGTTACTTTTTCTTCAAAGAGTTTTTGGGATATTGAATTACATACTTTCTACTACTAAAAAATTTTGAGCTTAAATTCCCGTAAAAATAATCATATATAGTGCAAGCAATCTTACTGTGGCCAATTTTGTTAATGTTAATCAGGCTGTTCATTACAGCCAATATTAAAGAAAATATATCAGTATTGATGGACTGCCTTCCAGCTATGCAGTTCCACCAAGAACCTTGCCAACGCAATTCACGATGACATCTTGAAAATTTTTTGTGTGATAAAATTAACGAGAATATAAATTTTTAATGAGTAATTTCTCCCTTACATTCAATATTGCAAGACTTTAATTGTACATCGATTAATTTAATCCGGTGTAGGGACTTACATACTTCCCAGCTGACTATCCCTGCGTTCATACCTGACGGTTATCAGGTTACACTTGTATTTTGTGTATGACCACATAGTGTGTGATATAGTAATTATATGTAGACTTGACCATTACCTATAATTCACCAATGGCCCGGTCAACGATAAACGATATAACGTTAATTTATATATTTTAGGTAATAATATTGGCGTAATTTTCCAACAGATTCCAGCTTTCAGCATCCACTCATACAGCCGTAAGAGTATCTACAACTACTACTTCTCAACGACCAGTCAGAAGAATGCACTTTACGCCTACGAAAATAACGTGCGTATGTACTGAAAAGGATGAATTACTTTCCAGAAAAAATCTGCTTAAATTCAAATTCTGATATACAAGAAACATGCTGGCGAATCAAGTTGGCGAATATCTACCTATTGATAGGAATACTAGTAATTAAAGCAATATAAATGTATAAAGCTTAAACAGCAACAGACATTTAATTATCACCAAAAATTGAACGGCATTCCTGAAGTGTCAATTTCCTTCAATTTTAAGATTTCAATGCCAAATTTACGTTCTCAATATAATTACATTATATTCAACTGTCTGAGAAACCATGCAAGGTCACTTTCTCCATTAAATATCTATTTATATATATTATTATTAGCAGAACTCTACTTTAAACAATGGATGCATAAGGCATCTCTCAGTTCCAGTTCTTTTATAATCGATTAGTTGATAATAACGGAGAAACTTCTACAATAATTTTAACTCCCTCGATGCCATCACGTGCAGAAACTTGTTGCGAATGCGGGAAAAGTCGTTGGAGGCTCGAGCGCGGTAAACTACATGCTGTATTATCGCGGCAACCGCCGTGACTACGACCGCTGGGCGGCCCTCGGCAACACTGGCTGGGACTACGATACTGTCCTGCAATACTACAAGAAAGCAGAGAACTATGAAGGAAAACTCTCTGCTGAAGACTGTGAGTTTATTTTCTATTTATAACAATTCATCACACACATTTATCCTCAGATAACTATACGAAAAGTTAAATTAATGTTGTAGTAAGCCAGTGTGCTGAGTAGATTACAGTATGCTCGGCAGCTTCTGGCTCAGAAATGGCGTAGATTTGCCACAAAGGGTAAATCAGCAAATTTTTTTTTCGTGTTTCGTTCTAATTTGCGGAACAGAATTTTACTTTAGCTAATGAACATAGTAGGTCACAAATATTTTAAATCACCTCTTACTCGCGATGCATGTGGCGGTTCTAAAAAGAACACAAATTTCGATTTGGTTCGCGTACAGTTGCGTAAATCTCGATGAAGTTTCCACAAAACACCTTCCTTCAAAACACCTCCTCAGCTTAAGCGAGAAAGACTATTCAATGTGCGCTAGAAAATTTTCTAAATTAATGTGATCCTGGAATATTTTCAAAATTTATATTTTCCTGAATTATTCTGAAAGCAACATAGTAATCTGTCAGGAATTTTTTTATGCTCAATAATCCTGCAGCCCTACAGGCTGCACTCTAATTAGTATTATAAATTTTAAATATTCATCATTTGATTGAATTTGACTTCATTTAACGTTTCAGTGCCGTATCATGGTTTGGGAGGACCACTCTCGGTCTCGAACTCGAATTGGTTCGACCTTTCCAAGTATATCTTCGCGGCGGCCAAGGAACTGGGATTTGAAAAAATTGACCCAAACGCTAACAAGACAATTGGTAAGTATTGTGCAAAAAAATTCAACGCTGTTTACCTATTGCACTTTATTGATGACTAGATTCGTGTGATATCACTTTTGTACCAATAGTATTAGAGTAATCTTTGGATGCCCCCAATGTATTCGAATTAAAAATGAAATTTCTTATTTCGATATTTTGGGATGAATCCGTTATTTTAGTGCAAATTTATTTCAGTGAAAGTTTTAACTTTGTGGAAATATTTTACGGTTTTTAGCGCATTTTCTCAATTATGGAAAAAGGCGCTATTGTGCTCGCAATGTCCGTCTGTCTGTCTGTGCGTGACTTCACGTTTTCGTCGACGAGAAATGCGCTCTCTGTCACTCACTGCAGTGAGTACTGAGTTATATTTGTATTATTATTGAACGAATATTATTATTAATCTCATTATAAGAGTTCTGTTGGTTTCATGGGATTTATTACGTAAGTTCGTGTAATTGCGTAAGGTTCAGGGGTCACACTTTCAAAACTGGCTAAGTGAACGTAGGTACTTACGATATATTTTCTTGTCTATGATTGGTGGATTT